CCCCCCCCCGCCCCCGCCCGCCGAGCGCATCCCGCTGTCGTTTACCGGCGACCGCGCTCCCCGGGTTTGCCGCTTCAAAAGTGGAAAGCGATGGTCGGGAAACTTCGGCGGTGCTGTTTTCGGTGGTGTAGCGACGGGAAAAGAGCATATTCCAGCGGTGAGCTTCGTTTATCGCTCAGCCACTCCATTTTTCTCCTGCTTGTCAAGCCCCTCGATGTAGTAACATCCATCATGAGTCACGATAGCTGCCCCACTCCATTACCCACGTGGTCTCTCACACTCCTGATTAAAACAGTTAACAGATTTGCCTTTTTAATACAAATAATCTGCTTCGTTAGCCCGCCAGGCTGCCTATATTCGTTTCATTAATTTCCAAGTGTCAATATCGGATATTACTTTTCTGTAAGGAAAAACTTTTATGTTTCCACTTCCAGCTGTTTACAAATTGACAGGCTTGCAGATTAAGAGAGGCTTTTCAGTCCACAGCCATTCTTTTCTTTTATTTCTTTTTTATTTTCTTTTTAATTTAATAATACATCGATAAAAGTGTCTATATAAAATAAATTCACTTTCTACTGTTGTATATTTAAAAACAATAACAAAGAAAACGTTGCTCTCTTGACGTATCGATTTTAATTTGATGGCAGTAATTTTAGTTCTAATTCTACATATTTTCACAACAGCGACAATTTATACCAAATGACCTCACAGCTCGAATGCATGACATGGAATCAAATGAACTTGGGATCCACATTGAAGGGGTAAGGTGCTTTATTCTTTTCTAATCTTTTGCCCCAGAGTAGCTGTGTTACTGAGCTAAATTTTTTATTGTATTTTACGACTCGAACCCGGTCACTAACACGAAAAATCACTGCTCGGTTCCGACAGTGGCTCGTTGTCTGGCTACAGTTTACCGTGTTTTTAAAAATGCTTGTAATAACCTAAGTGTAAAGGTGCTGGCTGTTTCACGGGCGTTAAGTGAAGCAGCAGGTATCCAAAAGGCGAAGTTCTCCGGCGACGGGCTGCAGCCTCCCGGCTCTGCCCCGGGCCGGGTCCCGGTGCCGGTGGGGGCAGCTACGGCCCCTCCGCGTTCTCCTCGAGCTGTCGCCCCTTCCTACCATCCCTCTTCCCTTTCCCTCCCTTCGCCAGGCCCTGCGTCCTGT